ATATATGTTAAAGGAGCTGGTGGTGTAGAATTTTGGCCTTTAGGGGAGGAGACCCGAGCTAGATATAAATATTGGGGAAGCATCAGAACCCCAACACCAGATGGCAAATGAAGTCCCAGAGGCTGTGAGATCACCCAGGAAACATAGAACAGGAGCTAGAGACAGAGCTCAGAGGAGCAACGAAGCCCAACAGATGAGCCTAGGAAAAAAACAAAAAAAGCAGCTCACCAAGGAGCTAGAGCACATCTGCCCAAAAAAGGCGGAGGACAGCTAGAGAATGTGGTGTTCTGGAAGCAAAATACCAAAAGTCACCATGAGCTGCTGGTACAGGGACTCCAAGGCTGCCTTTTGTCATGGAGCAGTGGGGCAAGAGCATGTGAAGGAGGGGGCTTAAGGAGTGTGGAAAACCGAGGAAAGGAAGCAGAAGGAATTTAGATAACAGTTCAGAAACCTGGCTCCAAATAGGAGGGAAGACAGAGGTGCTAGACAGAGTGAGGATTTAAGTATACTTTAGGGTTTCATAGAAAAGAATATAAAAACAAGGTTTAAGAACTTTGGCCGGGGAGACGACTCAGTGGAATAAACACTTCCTGCGCAAAGCGCAGGGGCCTGAGTTCAATCCGCGGTTCTGCAAAAAAAAAAAAAAAAAGAACTTAATGGAGAAGGCAAAGATAAAAGACATCTGAGGAAAAATAATTGATAGTGCTAGGTTCAAAAGCAGCAGAAACCTCCAGGCTTCAAAGTTTGGGCTGGCCCAACCACAGCTAGAAGAGCTCCTACCTCTTCTGGGTGAAGGAGGGGCAGTAAGATTGTCCATAAAATTACATTTGTACCTGTGGGCAGACAGTGGAAAAATCTCTTGTCCTCTGTCACAGAGTCTGTTTAGTTCCATACTCCAGCATCCGGCTTACCATGCATAACAGACACTTAAGGACTGTTTAACTAAATTAAATAATAAGTGAGAAACATATTCACTAAGCCTAGGAAAGAGGGATGGCCAACTATCTGAAGCTCCACCTTTAGTGGCTTTTGCCAAATTATCCATACTTTATGCCATCGCTAGGTAAGATATTGTAGTGAGTGCCACAACTGAGAGGACCAATGCCAGGCTAGAGACCTTAAAGCACTGCTGGTGAACCTATGGCACGTGTGCCGCGGCAGCCTCCTTGTATCATTGAAAGCTCCAAAAGGTTCACCATCATCATTTCCTGATTTAACTTTATTAATCAAGAGTAGACCTTGATAGTTTGTAAGAACAGCCTTAGATTTATGTTTATGCTTGTATCGCTTTAAACATTACCTTCCTGTCAAATATTTGTCTCCTAGAACATATTTATTTCAGGTGAACTAAGGCACTGCATCCATTTGGCTGCACTGGGGGCCTGCCCTATGGCATGCAATTCATCATTGGCCTGGGAGCAGAGAACTGGATTAGCTGACCTCCCGCAGTCGTTCCAACTCCACACCTGCAGGCTGTGTTTCCTTCCCTATGCCCTCCAGTGATCTACTCCTGCCCCACCATGCAGCCCTGGGCACTGAGAAGGTGGGAAAAGGCTCAGGTCATCCAATAGAGGGAGAGCCTAAAGAGCAGCTCAAAAACCATTCAGCCACATGTCTGTTTACTCATATCTGATTTGCCTGAATGAAAACATCTTTTGGTCTTGCCTGAAGGTCAAAGAAGCAGGAAGGGAGCCTGCTGTGGCACATGTGCCAAACCATCCACTGAAGTAAGAAGTCTCTAGGAGCCTTGTTCTGGGCATCTGATATTTGTAGCCAAGTGATGTCACCCATCACATCAGCCAACCAAGGGATTCATGGTGACAAAATGCAGTGCACACAGGAACAGCATGGTCAGCACAGACTGAGCTCAAGGGCATCCTGGGCAGGGAGGTGGCCAGTGGGGCCTCCATGACCAGCCAAGATGAAAGTGACAGGGTCAGCCAGTGGAGTCATATATAGTCCACAGCAAAGAGATGCACTCTTGCTGGACAGTGAAGTCTGAACGTGTTTTGTGGGAAGTGGTTGAAAAAGCTTTGGCTCAGAAGTCCAAAGACTTGGGTTCCATTCCAAGAAAGGCCACAAAGCCACTGGCTGGCTTGTGGCAAGTCACCCTACTCCCCTACCCTACTTCCAGGCTTTGTTACCAAGTTCAACTATAAGGTTGAACTGAACTATGTGCTCTCCATGACATCACTGTGCAGAGCTCACATAGAACAAACAAAAAGCATTGCGCAAAGAGCAGTGCAAACTCCTGGACTGGGGGTACAGTAGAAGGAAAAGTGGGTAGGAAGACAGGTGTAGGAACACATGTGACCAGAGATGACAGCTTACCACAGCTGCTATAACCAATGCCACAAACCTAGTGCCTTAAACAGAATTTATCTCTTCTCTTACAGTTCAGATGTCAGAGGTCCAAGATGAGTCTCAGTTAAAATCAAGGTGCTGGCACATGCGGTTGGGCTGAATGCTCAAGAGTAGAATCATTTCCTTTTTTGTTTCAGTTTCTAGAAGCTGACTCTACTTATGGGTCCGCAGCCCCTTTCTCTACCTTTAAGGCCAACAGAAGCATATTCCATCCTCTTTCTGAAGTCCCCCACACCTTTCTTACAAGGACCTTTGGGACTGGATTGTGCCTACAAATTACCTAACACTTCTCCATGCATCTTCTCTGGTTTTTTCCCAGACCATTCTCCACAAATGCAGCTGGAGATTTAAAAACCAAAACCTGGTCCACGTGGTGCCCTGGCTGAAAACTCTTGAATGATGTTCAAATGCTACTGGGTTAAAGGCAAAAAGCCAACATGCTCACAGATGATTCGGGTTCCCCTAGTGCCATCAGCTTTACTTTCTGCCTGTGCTGCTTACTAAGCTCTTTCCTGGCCATCTGTCAGTTATCTGGTTAGATCACACCAGGGCCTTTGTACATGCTGCTACCACTCCCTGGTGAGATCGCTCCTGCTTCCTTTCCTGTCTGCTCTTGGAGTTCACTTAAAGTTTGTCACTTCCTTGAGAAAGTGTTTCTCAACTCTGACCACTGCTTACCTCCATAATTAGACTAAACCTTCTGTTAAGTGCTCTTTAGGGTATTTTGTACTTTTCTTTAATAATAATCAAATATTTATATGTTCATTTGTTAAAATCTGTCTCTCCTACTATCTTATAATCCCTACGAAGGTAGGGAATATATCTATTTTACACTTTTATGTGTCACTAAATTCTGACCCTAGGAACTTAAGATTTGCTGAATGAATCAATGAATATATAAAAGGTAGGGGTGTAATATAAAGAGATAGTTTAAAGCTCAATATCTAAAGTCAAAATTAGGTTTAAATTATAGCTTTGCTTCTTTTAGGTTGTATGATATTGGGCAAGATACAGTATTTGTTATAAATGAAGGACCATTTTGTAGTGAAATAAATAAATATATATATAATCTGTATATACAAAATAGTTAAGATATACAGCTACTTTCTCTTAATTCAGTGAGAAGAAAGATTTGTACTAATAGTGTTAGGATATCATGTCTGCATCTTGTACTAAGAATAACTACTACAAATACAATAATATGCATTGTATTAATTATTAGAACTGTCCTACTAATCTGTTTTGAAACTGCTTCATTGCTATTTATCAATAAAATTAATTTTAAAAAGATACATTATTTGTAATTCCTGCAGCCCAGTTTCTTCATTTGTAATGTAAAAACTTCAATATATATAAAAAACATTTATTGTGGGGATCAATGTAAGGGTCCACAGTGCTCACGTAGATCTTGAGGACAGTAAGTCGACGTCCTGCCATAATCACCACCACTGTGGGTGAATATGGGTTGAACTCCATGCTTGTCAACACTTCCCCCTCCTGCTTCCATGACAGCTAATGGGCCAAGGCCAATTCCATGAGAGTTTATGGATCGCCCAGAGGTAAGAACAGTTGATTCCTAGCACCTGTACAAGGTGGGGCTTTGGTGATAGATCCACAAGCCTTAAAGGATGTCAGAATCATAGAGGACCATGTGCTAATGAGATCCTTTCTTTCAATAAGGCTCTGTGTTATTCTGAATTGGAGACTTTAAGGGCTATGCTTTGGGCCACTGTAGTATATGACTACCCAAAGCTATGACTTGGGTATGAACACTTCAATTAATTTTCCAGAAAAAAAAATGGTCCTGTATCTTTGGCTTCCATATATCTTGTCCATATCTCAGTGGTGGGTCCTACCATCTATCTCCATATTATTAGTGAGCTCTTAGTGGACAGGCCCTGTGTCTTTTTTATCCCTGCAGCCCCAGAACCTTGCATAGTGCCAGGCCTGCAGCAAGTGAAACTCCACTCTAGCCTGTTGCCCACATGTGCTCCTCATCACAGTAACCAGTAACACCTTGGACCCAGTTACTTAGATCAAAACCACCAGGTCATCCTTGATTTCTCCTCTCACAAACCACATCAAATCCATCAGAAAATTCCGCAACCTTTTCCTTCAACTGTGTCCAGATTCCAAACACTTTTATCACTTTCCTGCTACCTGCCAGTCCCATACACCATGGTCTCTTTCCTCTATTTCACTCTTCTCACAATACAGACTATGGTCCACATACATTGCAGCTAGTGGAAATTTTGCCTTAAAGAAGAAAAAAAATTATACCCATCAGACCACATCTCTGCTGGTGATGAAAGCTGCAGTGCTTTGGCATCTTACACAGGAGAAAAAAAAAAAGTCTTTACCATGACCTACGGGCCCCACCACTAATCATTTATTAGTGGTCCTCTATTGCCATTTTCCCTATGCTGTTTTTCTTACTGCTCCTCAGATACACTAAGCCCACTTCAAATTCAGGGATTCTGAGCTTGCCTCAGAGTGAGAACTGTGAGCTTTGACCCCTTGTTTCATTCAGGTCTCTGAGGTTTAACCTACTTCAGAGAAATCTATGGTAGCTCCTCCCTTACATCCCATATAATGACCTTTTCTTTTCTTGACCAAAGACAGTAGTTTCAGCCAGGCATTGTGGAATATACCTGTGATCTTAACACTCTGGGGGCTTGGGAAATTCAGTGACTTAAAGAGATACTGTCTCAAAATAAATAATTTTTAAAAAGGCTGAGGATGTAGCTCAGGGCAAAGTCCCTGAGTTCAATCCTTCACATCATAAACAGTACAAATACAGAGGTCTCGAAGAAAAGATAGTGGATCTGAGTGGGCTGAACTTAGTCAAAATTGTTTCTTCTTCTCCCTTGACTTGCTTTGGGTCCAGGCCAAGTTCAACCTTCTTATTTTAATACAGCTGCAGACTGTACAGTGAATGAGCTCGAAAAACCTTCAGGATTCCAGAGAAGCAGGTTGACTTTAAGACCAGGAGGAAAGACAGCAGTCACTTTGTGGGTTTCCTGCATAGCATCTCTATCTTTGATGATCCTGGTCATAGACGATTTTAACTTTGTGCTCCCATAGGACTTCTTGGGCCTACTTTATATGCTGAAGTTGGAGACACCATGAAAGTTCACTTTAAGAATACGGCAGACAAGCCTGTAAGCATCCATCCTCAAGGAATTAGGTACAGTAAATTCTCAGAAGGTAAGAGAAATTTAATATCTCTCTGACAAGAAAAAATGTACAACTCTAACATGATTGTCAAACATTTAAAACTGGTATTGCTAATTATGCACTGCTAGAGAAATCTTTCCTACAAATGAGAATTATAAAAAATTATTGCAAGTTTCTGAGATGAAAACCAAAAGGTTCCAGAGCCAGCTCTTCCTTAGCTTGTCATGAGGTCCTTGTTCTTTAATAGTCGGTTTGTGGGGGGACTTGCAGGTTATCTCAGTTGTTTAATAGTCAGGTGGAAAAATTACCCAATCTTGATGAAATTCAACATGTTCACCTTAAAAGAAGAAAACACATATATTGCAAGATGGCTTAAGAGGTCAACAAACATTTCTGTAAAAAGGCAGATGAATGTTCAGTTTTGCAGGCCACAGGATCTATTTCAATGACTCACCTCTGCCTTTTGATACAAAAGTAGCCCTAGGAGTAGGTTCATGAATGAGTGTGAATGTGTCACAATAAACTTCATTTACAAAAATGACCAGATGGCAGGATTTGGTCCAGGAGTCGCTGACATGGTGACATAGGACCAGTTTGATGGCAAGCAGATGACACTAAATCCACAGTATTTGATGGTGGTAGTACTAAAGTAGTATTAGACACTACTTTAGATACAATAAAATGGTTAAGAATATAAACATGGAAGGCAGACTCAAGTTTCAGTTTTCGCATTTCTATTTCTCTGACTTTACATCTGAGAGCCTCCATTTTCTCATCTGTAAAATGGGACTGATCATACCCACCCAATAAGGTTGCTCTGAGGATTAAATGAGATCGTTCGGGCAGTGTGCCTGGGACTTGGTTCCTGGGCTTGGTAAGCCCTTAATAAATGATGAGAACTCAGTGATGATAATGTCAGTTTCATAAAAATGATGGTGATCAAAGTGACTGCCTCAACCACAGGACACTAAGTAACGTGTTAATACAGGTCTAGTTTCTCCCAATATGTTAACATTGACATCCTAGTAAATGGAGTAGAGTCCTATCAGGAGCTAATATTAAAGTTGTATCCATGTTTAATAGTCAACAGTATAATAACATTTTTAAATAACTTCCAGATTTGCATGCTTCACAAGTCTTTCACTGTCCCACAATTCCAGCTATCAGACCTTTGAAGAAGGAATTGGAGAGTATTTTATAGTGCAGGCCCTAGAATAAAATTTGCCAGTGTGAATTTTTCCTTCTATACTTATCAGCTGTGGGACTTTTGAAGTTTCTTAACTTCTCTATGCCTCATCTTTCTCATCTGTAAAACAAAGACAGTAATCATATACATCTCACTCTGGTTTGCTGAAATACTGGAAAAGTACTGAGATGAATACTGGCTAGCTAGTATAGAAAACTGCTCAATCAAAATGTGCTCAACTAATTTAATATTTGACAACTAAGAGTCAGAAAGTGGAGTTCACATTGACTGCTTCCTATATAAAGTACTAGCAAACCCATTTTCTCTAAGGTGTAAGTGACTAACCTATTCTGAGCTATTTTCCTCAGAAACTTCGCATGGATTAAGGGGGAAGAAAAGCTTAACCATGAAATTTCAGCCGTCTTTAGAAGCTAATGTGTACGGCCCTGGGTTTGCCAGCATGAGCAGAAGTCTTTCCGTGTCCCTAACATCACACAGACATAGTAAGCACCTCTTAACCTATGTGTGAATTTCCAGGGACTCAGCACAGCGGCACAGGCAGGGGAATGTTTACACAAAAAGCCAGTGTCCCTTGCAGGTTCCATTTCAAACACGGGAACGGGTCAGAGCTGTGGACTCTGCTCCCCAGCGAGGCTGTTTGCACAGTGAGTGAACCTGGCCACACAGCCCTCTTCCTTGGATGTTTGTTTGTCCCTCTGCTCCCCCACAGTCAGCACTCGGAGATGAGAAATCACTTAACACGCCCCCACAGTTTCCGCCCGTGACCAGACTACTGGCACCAGTCTGTCCCTCTGCACCCATGAATCTGAGAAAGAGAAATGCAGGCACATGGGGAAAGTCAAATTTCATCTGGAAAATGGAATGAATCTAGTAAATAGCAACGTCCTTCATATTAAAGACAAGCCTTCCATTCATTTTATCATGTCTTCTGCGTATCTCCCACCTTCATGGCCTCCCTTGATGTTGAGACTCTTTTCCCAGAAATGGGGGGAATACACTAAGATCATGCTGAGGCAACTACAAGAGAATCTAGACTCCTTTCCGTCCGAGACATGCATGTGATAGAGAAGTGGTGAGCATCCAAATGGCACAGTGGGTTTGAGAAATCGCAACAGTACAAATGGCAAGAATGGGTGACCTTTTCACAGAGGTCAAATTATGATTTATAAAAATGCTTACAATTTGGAAATGTATTTCATAGGAATAGTTGTAAATCAGGACAAGTATCTACAGTTGTACAAAATTCCTTGAAAGCTTTCTATCACTAAAAGGGTTTCAATTTGAGGCTAAAACTTTTGAAACTTGCTAAGTAGCATGTTGTTTGAAAATCACATCATTGAGAAACCTTTGTCATTCAGTGAGGTTTTCAAAGTTGTTCTGATCATTTTCAAAGATGTTTTGGTTGTTACCTTCAGAAGTTTGTTTCATAATAAATCTTAATGGTATTCTTCATTTGACTTGTAACTCTCCTAGTTTAAATATGTGAGTTTCGCTATGAGTATTGAACCACAAAATTAGTTCTGTAATATCTAGCCATCTGCTGGTTATCCAACTCTCTGAATTAAAAATAAACCACTAGAGATTGTTCCATGCAGCTAAATGTTTTCAAATTCTCTCTATAAAAACTTAACTTTTTAGAATTTTTCCAGTGTTTGATAAATTATAGGTTTTTATACTTTTATCCCTCATCTAGATACTTTGTACTTACATAGACACTTCGTAGATTATATGACATGTGGCCAAAACAAACTGTAAAAGCGACATAATAATTCTCATAAATCACATGAAGTGAACTCCCATTCAAAAAGATATGTGTAGAACTGGGCTCTTTGTAAAGCGTCAGCATTTTCATTTGCCCTCTGCTTATAGTTTCTAAAAGAATGTCCTGAATCTTTGAATGCACTGAAGCATTCATTAAGTTTATTAAATGGAGAAGAAAGAAGCTATTAACAAAAATAAGGGGAGGATTTAATGAATGAGCACCCTAGTGGGGAACCAGGAGAGCTCTTTCTGCAATTTCACTTTTCCAAAGCTTGTACACACAATTTTCCATTTTAGAAAAAAAACACTGAAAGCCTTCTAGAAAATAATCAGTACACCATGACAAGAATAAACACACTCCAAAGCTGACCAAAGACGAGGCAGGAAGTAAACACAGCTCAGTAAATATAAAATGAAGGCCAGCCATTGTGCAAAGGATTTATTCTAGCATGAAGCTGAACAAGGATTTTTTTGTGGCTTATCCCAGTAGTCGTTCATGTCCATTTTTCCTCTTTTTCAGTTTAGAGTTTTAATTTTTATTTGAATTTCAAAGTCAAACTCAGATTCAGCAAAAATGCTTTTCACAAATGGGTGCTCAAAGTAGCTGCTTGTTTTATTTTATAGCTTACATTATATAGATTGCAAAAACAAAGATACAGCATGCCTGTTTCATTCTAAAGGTAGATAATTTGAAGTTGAAAGAAAACACTGATAAAATTATTCCCCTCTTCCTATCTCATTAATTATCCTCATTTGTATAATTATAGACTATATCCCACTTGTCATAGGCATGGTTCATCATTTATATCCATATACTGTACCCACAATTTGCCTTTTAAATCATCTCTTCAATTATTTGATATTTATCCAGCATTTAACTGACATATGAAATTCTGAATAAATTAACTTAGTCAATTATATGGTCATTGATTGATGTGGCTTTGAGAACATTTTCAAAACATACTCCAAAACATGTTGAATACTTTACTTTTTATTTATTTATTTTTAATGTATTTAGGACAGGGTCTACAAGGTCTACAGGGTCTTACTACGTAGATTGGACTCATAGTGATTCTCCTGTTTGCAGCCTCCCAAGCTCTGGGATTACAGGGGCACGCCACCACACCCAGTCTCAATCATCATCTCAGCACACCCCATAGGCAGGACCAGCAAGGCATGCTGGGGATCAAACCCCGGCCACTGCACTCTGTCAAAGCAGGCGCTTTAGTCCACTGAGCTCTCTGGCCAGCCCTTGAATACTTTAAATATAGAAATAATTTTTAAAATATACTGTTGTTAAAATCTATTAAAATAAATTTGGATGTGAGCCACTGACTACTTATAAATAAGTCTGATGTCATTAAAAATCAGTCACAGTACTGTATCTAGCACAAGTATTCTGGAACTTTAGGTAATTCATAGATGCTGATGTTTCTGGATTTTCTCCCCAGAAAAGTGTGTTCTAACTGTGGCCTTGAGACTGGGTGGTCCTCATAACCCTAGAGGGGAGCTCATGACAACCAGGGCATCCCACTGTTAATTGGGCTGAGCTCACAGGTGCAAGCTCTGAGGGCTTTCCATTTGCACCTGGCCCCTGGTCCAGAACTAAGGAGACTGAGGATTATCAATTTTGAACTAAACTGAAGGACTGACGATTTATTAGAAAGTAAGGACTATGTGTTCCTTTCTCTTTGCTTTGAAAGTTACTCATTTTTTTCTGGTGATTGTACACAGTTACTTTGGCTTACTGCTCTTTTTTATCATGCTTGGAAAACATGTGTCACTGCAACAGACTGGATGTTTGTGTCTCTCCCAACGTCTTATGTTAGAATCCAAGTCCCCACTGGGATGGTACCAGGGGTGGGGTCTAGGGCAGGGGAGTTGAGTCATGAAGGCAGAACCCTCATGCTGGGTTTGTGTCCTGTGAAAGAGACCCAAAGAGGAGCTCTCTCATCTTCTTCCTGCCTTATTCACATCCAGTGAGAAATAAGTAGTCTGCAGCTCAGAAGGGGTTCTCAGAAGAAACCCACCATACTGGAACCCTGGCCTCAACCTTCCAGAG